GAGTAAGCCTAACCTAGAATCTTGTATCGAAACAGGTCAAACTACTTTTGTAGAAAAATATTGTTTTGGGTTTTTAGGAATGACATATATTTATTCTATTATTTATTTACATGACATGGTTTAAATACAACATTTTTATTTCTTTAAGTTATATTTTTATTTAAAATAAAATTTCTTACATTTAGCTAATACAATTTAAATAAATTAATATCTGAAATCTTGCTTGCTTTCCAGTCGAGGATGCTTTTCAAGAGATAGTAGTGTCGCTGTCATAACACCTTTGCGATTTTGCTCTAATACGCGTTTTGATACATTAGCCAGTAATTGAACATGTCCCTCAGTTCCCTGAATGTGGACCGGAATTTTAGGGTCACTCCATGGACACTCATTGCTTTGTAGATATTGTACTAGATGTTCATGAGGAATATTTAGCGTAAAGGCTGGTTCGGATATATTTGAATAATCATCAATATCTATCATATTAGTATAGTCGGTGCATTCAAAATTTATTTCGGGTGTTTTGTAATCTCTCAATTGCGTCAGGTCTTCCACATTATTACGGTAATATAAGATTTTTCTTATAGCTGAATCTCGTATTTCCTTTTTATTATCAAACAACATTGCTAATAAAATATTTTCCGAGTGAGCATAGTATGCGTTTTCTTTAGCGACATTTTCACAATTTGTTTTAAATTCGAGTCTAAATATTGCGTCCAGCTAATAAATTTATAAAATAATATACTACCATACACCACAGAGTTGTAATATTTAATGTTAAAGTACATTGGAATATATACTTTCATTACGTAGTTTGCCAGAATTTTCAAATTTTTGGATGGCTTATTAGTAGTTACATATAACCGAAGTAACCTACTAGCCTTCGTGAGCCAACGGGAATGTGCTATTGGCCCTGGTTTCATGTTAGCTAAGTCTGTCGATACTTCTCCAGAAGCAACTGCTTTAGCTATTTTTATTAAATAACTTGAGTCAGTTGTCGATTCAGCAGGACTTATATCAGCCAAATTTTCAAGTGTGATTGTTTCAACGTCTTTTACCGGCTGGAAGTATATAGGAAAAAATAAATTATATTGAATTTGAATATAGGGTATTAAAAATAGTAAATATGTTATAACTCACCGGTATATTTTCGCATGTTTCAATTTGTTTGCTTAATATTCCAGTTTTTGTTAGTGGTCCAGTGGTCAATGATTTTTCCAAATAGTTAAATAAATGGCGAAGTGGAAGTTCGTTAAAGTGGAGAAGACACACAAACCAATGCAGTGGCCTGTTTAACTGAATTTTAAATCGACGTAAAATCCCATTTTTTACGCCTGTATTTGCTGGTTCACCATCGCAACATATGCCTATCAAAGAATCGAGAGCTATTCCTTTATCGGCAAAAAACTCGTTCAATTTGATTACTTTACTTTCCGAATCTTCATTTTCCAATTTTGTGTAACCCAACAATTGGTAATTCGGTTCCTTTAAAATAACTAAATGCGCTTCTTTAATCATTCGTGGGTGAAACTTCTTATCGATTTTTTCCATGGTAATAGAATCATTTTTTCGGCCGTCGAATGAAAATGCTATTAATTCAGAAGAATCATATCGTTTGTGTAGAGCTTGCCTATTTTTCTGTCTCTCACGAACGCTTTTATTTTTATCCATAATGACAGGATTGCCTCAATCATCCGTTACGCCCAGGTCACGCAGGATTGCAGTCACCACGCCAGAACCAACTCTATCAGAAATTGCAAATCTGTCGCACATTAAGGCATAGCTTGGAGCCTTATATCTTCGACTATATGGGCCACGTTTTATATGAGAAGTATTTTGTGAACTTTCCGAACTGCTTTTAAAATCAAAACCAACATCTGGAGTATATGTCTCACCTGGAGTAATATTGCTAGTTATTGTAGATTCTGATACTTCATCTTCAATTTTTATAATATATTCTGGTATCGTAGATTTCCTCTCATTATGTTGAACCATCATAAACGCTTGTAAATGTTCTGGAACCAACCCACAAGAACACAGTATTCTTCGCAAATCGCATTTGCATTTTCCAATATAAAATAATTCTTTCGTGGATTCTACAAACTCCTGAAATGATGCTTGGGTAGACTTGCTTTTATTTGTACTTTTATATTTATCAATCAATCGGTTCAATTTTCTAGCGATACTTCGTTTCTCCATAAGTGGAATATCAATTTTTTCCCACGTCTGAATCAATTTCGTTACCACATTTGGAGTAAATGTTTTATATGAAAACATTTTATTTTGTTTTTTTTATTTTTCCGCCAAATAAAAATAATACCTGATAACTGTAAATTCTTCTGCTGGTCCAAATGTAATTTGATCATGCGAGTGCATATGATTCAAATTACTGGCACTTGCGCCTGAATTTAAATAAGAACTCGCCATTGATACTTGACGCCCTAGTGACGAACTGAATGAACATTTATGCGGAATTGTCACATTAATACATATATTATTTTCGAAATTTCTAGAATTACATTCTAGAATTAATTGTATAATAAAAAATACTAGCGCACTCTGATGGAAATAAATAACAACAAACTAAACCCGATTTAAAAACCCCCGCACATAATCTTAATAAAAATAAAATTCACAATTTGAATTATTCACATGCCTAAATTAATACATTTACTTATTAAAAATAGTATTTTATTTTTTAAAATTTCGCTGGCTAAAAAGTTACTTGCGATATATGGTTTTGCAGTCAAAATTCATTTAAATAACACATATATTTCATATAAAAAGGTGCCCATATCGCTTAATTTTACTTCTATAATAAATTAGCCCCCCCTAATTTATATATATATATATATATATATATATTAAATTCAAATCATTTTAGTCTGTCTGAATTTTTAATATTATGTTCGTTAAGGGTAAAAACACTTAAAATGAATTTGCCAGATGTTTCCGCGGTTGTTAAGCATGTCTGGCTATCAAAATTGTCTGGCAATATGATACTAGTTTATAGCATTTTAGTCAGTCCAATTTTCATTTTTTAACTTTGAATAGTTTGTCCAGACTCACATTTTTGTTGCCAGACATTTTGGGCGCTGCCAAATATGAAATTGTATGAAGGTTTCTGAACATTTTGGCATACCTCAGAAAAATGGATGTGTGTGTGTGTTTTTTGTGTGTCCGCATTTTATTGTTCACGTTTTCGGGCGCACGGATCAACCGATTTGAATGGTTCAAGAAACATACGATTCCTTTTGATAGGGAGATGTGCTGATTAGTTTTTGGCAAATGCAGGTCCAGCAGTTATGGAGATAAAGAGCAAAGAGTGCAGAAAATAGAAATCGAGTTTTTGAGAGAACAAAGCAGCCGATTTGAATGATCTAAAAGATATTCAATTAGTAATGATACGGAGAAGTGGTTATTAGTTTTTGGCAAAGGTAGGCACAGCCATTTCGAAGATACAAAGCTAAATGTGCAAAAAATGGCAGTTTTTGAGATAACTAAGCGTCCGATTTAAATGATTCAAAGAATTTTCTGCCTATTTTAACAAAATAATTGATTTTGGAATAAAAAATTTTTGTTTCAAAATTTTTTTTATAGTTTTTTTTCAATTTTTTTTTTCAACTTTGCAATCCAGTTTATATAATTCTTATAAATATTAGACAATGTTACAATATTTATAATAATCTATTTGAAAACATTCAATATTCCTCGAACATTTTGTTACGTTACGGGAAGTTCCAGCAATTTGCCTTAAGGCACGATGTCATCACCCCACTAGTTTATTATTATTACCCGTAGGGTAAGATATTGTAATCGTCCAAAACTCGAAATTGAAAATTTTTACAGTTCTTCACGTTTTGAAGGTTTCTGAACATTTTGACATACCTCAGAAAAAATGGATGTGTTTGTGAGTGTGTGTGTGTATGTATGTATGGATACAATTTCTTGTTCACGTTTTCGCGCACGGATCAACCGATTTGAATAGTTAAAAAAACATTCGATGTCTATTGATAGGGAGATGTGCTGATTAGTTTTTGGCAAAGGCAGATCTGGCCGTTTCGGATATACGGAGCAAAGAGTGCAGATAATAGAAATCGAGTTGTTGAGAGATCGGAGCATCCGACTTGAATGATCTAAAAAACATTCAATTTGTAATGTCGGGGAGAAGTGGTGATTAGATTTGGCAAAGGCAGGTCCAGCGATTTCGGAGATACAGAGCTAAATGTGCAAAAATGGCAGTTTTTGAGAGAACTGAGCGTCCGATTTGAATGATTCAAAGAACTTTCAGCTTGTTTTAACAAAATAATTGCTTTTGGGAAAAAAAATTGTTTCATTTTTTTTTCAAAAAATATGTTATTGGTATATCGAAAATAATTCAGATTTTAATTGTAACTCTGACTTAAATTCTAATATACTTTAAACATATATTTTTAACTTTGCAATTTAGTTTCTTATAAATATTAGAAAATGTTACAGTATTTATTTATAATAATCTATTTGAAAACATTTAATATTCCTCAAACATTTTTCACGGTACGGGAAGTTCCAGCAATTTGCCTCAAGGCATGATGCCAGGCACATCACTAGTTTTTTTTATTTTGTAATTTCAATATTATGTTCAAAGGATCAAAAAACATAAAATTAATTTGTCAGACGTTTCTGTGATTGATAAGCATGTCTGGCAATGATAAAAGTCTGGAAATATGATAGTACGTACCAGTAGATAGAGTGTGACAATCGCCAATTACATTGCCGATTACATCGAATGAAACAAAAAACTATTATACCCGCATGAGCACATTTCTAGTCAAAGTTAGTGCAATTTCAAGATTATTTTTGAAAAACAAATAAAATAATGTTAAACTAATAAAGTATGGCATCGTGCCTTAAGGCAAATTGCTGGAACTTCCCGTGCCGTAACGAAATGTTTGAGTATTATTAAATGTTATCAAATAGATTATTATTTTCTTATATTCGTTTGCTATCTTACACTTGTTCTGTGAAGAGAAAGGAGGCGAGACTGAGATTGTTAGTACTTTTAAGTATTAACAATTTAATTAAGTTTTTATTTAATTTCGTTATTTTTTTTTTTTTAAGTTTTTACGTGAAAGACTTTGAGGAGTGATTGTTTATCAGCAACCAACAGAAAATGGGGTCCGAGATGAAAAGTACCTGCTACAAATGCAATCGCGTAGGACACTTTGCCAGAGAATGCACCCAAGGTATGGGAGGTGGCCGGAACCGCGATGGCGGTCACAGGGACTCGGGCCGCGTGCGTGAGAAATGCTACAAGTGTAATAGATTTGGCCACTTAGCCAGAGACGCAAGGAGGAGGCTGACCGATGCTACAGATGCAATGGCACTGGACACATTGCTCGCGCTTGTCTGCAAAGCCCAGATGAGCCATCCTGTATCAACTGTAACAAGCCAGGACACATTGCGAGGAATTGTCCTGAGAGCGGTGGTTATGACTCCCAGAGTAGGTCCAACCAAGCGTGTTACAACTGCAGCAAAACTGGTCATATATCCCGTAACTGCCCAGAAAATGCTAAGACTTGCTATGTCTGTGGAATGCCTGGTCACATAAGCCGTGACTGTGATCAAAATGACCACAACTAGGTCAATATTATCTAGGGTGTCGGGATATTTATCAACCTTATTAATGGCATCCGATATCATAAAGATAACACAGGCCAACAAAAAAACTTTTTTTTTTTGGTGCCTCAAATGTTAGAGCTGATTCTTATAGAATTTTTTGCGCTGATTTCGAATCTGCAAACCATTTTTTTGTATCAGCTCTAGTTTTTGAGATACAAAGAAGTTGCCGAAACCAGGTCCATTCGAGGTCGTCACGGAAAAGAACTTTTCACAGTGTGTACTAATGTCCCAACTAAGGCCGAATGGGTCTTATAAGTTTGTATGTACGAGTAGGCATATCTCATTAAAATAACATTCGGAATTGTATTACTCTTTTGTACTTTCGTTCCTTATATTAGGTGCGCAACTAAGTTCTCGCTGTTTGTCAGTATATGGCTCTATGAGTAAGGGTTGGTCGATTTTGACAAATCCAAAACGTCTTGAAACAAGCTTAGAGTAAGTAAACAAACTGCTGCGACACATAATTGATTTCGTTTTTGCATTATATACTTCTGGTTAAGTGAATATGTCCAATTTTATGCCAAACGATCGGTATTTGCGAGGAGTGTTGATTTTCGTCTTCCATTCAAAAAAAAACGAGAACTCAAGTGCATCGAGACCTACGGAAATGTTGCTCTGAGCGAAACAACATGCCGTGAAGGGTTTTATCGCTTCAAAAATGGTGATTTTGATGTTGACGACCACCCACGTGAAGGAAGGCCAAAACCTTCGAAAACGCTAAATTGAAGGCCTTGTTTGAAGAGGATTCGTGCCAAACTCAAGAAGATCTTGCTTTAGAATTAGGAGTTACCCATCAAGCTATTTCCAAGCTATTGTATGCGTCGGGGATGATTCAGAAGCAAGAAACTTCGGTTTCTTGTGAGTTGAAGCCAAGAGACGTCGAGCGTCGTTTTTTCGCCTGTAAACAACTGCTCCAGCGGCGAGAAAAGAAGAGGTTCTTCATCACATCGTGACAGGTGATAAAAAATGAATACAATACAGCAATCCAAAGAGGAGAAAATCTCGGTTCGTCCGAATATTCACTGCGAAGGTTATGCTCTACATATGGTGGGACCAGGTCGGTGTTATTTGTTATAAGCTGTTAAAACCGAGTGAAACCATCACTGGAGAACTGTATCAAACTCAATTGATGCAATTTTTTTATAATAAAGTTACTTTTCATCGAAAAAACAGCGAGAACTTAGTTGCGCACCTAATATCGTAAAATATATCATATAGGTCGTATCTTGAAAACTAAAGCTCATAGAAAAAAACCAATGTCATTTTTGAAATCAGCGCCCCAAATATACTTAAAAACAGTATTAAAATCGTTTGCACCATTTTCTTTGTTGACCTGTGTAATTTATGAGTTAACAATTATCTTAATATTATTTTAAAGGCCACACACTGATTACAGGATCTCCAAACTCTTTTAATTTAAGGCTCTGCAAATTTCCAATAAAATGCCTAATCTAATACAAATTCTAAGCCTATAAATGAGCCTTTTGCCAAAAACTAACAGCCAAAAACTAACAGCCATGATGTAAACGTTGGCCGCGTTAAAGATATATAGACTGTTTCTTATAAATGAATAAAAGTTGATGTTTGTGAATGAAGTTTGGTTATGCTGTGCATCACATTGACCAACGAGAAATTTTTATTTAATGAACAGTATTTTATTCATGTATGAATTGAACAGTTAACCATTTTGTTACTACGAAATAAACATTGTAATTTACATTTGTGTTTCAATTTCATGTTCGTATACCATTAGTATTTTCTGCACCATAGAATCTGTAAGCCATTTGTACTCAATTGTACACACATACTTATATAATTTTATTTCTTTGTGTTATTTAATATTATTTGAAGTTGCATAGAAATGTATGAAATTATAATTATGATACAGAAAATATTTTAATTTTAGTATTCACTTAATAAAATATAAATACTGTAACATTGTATAATATTTACAGGAATTATATAAACTGAATCACAAAGTCAAAAATATTTATTTAAAGTATATAAGCGAGCTTTAAAACTTTAGCCAGAATTAAAATTGAAATCTGAATTATTTTCGATATACAAAACAATGAAATGATTTTTTTCCAAAAGCAATTGTTTTGTCAACACAAGTTTTTTAAATCATTCAATTCGGATGCTTATTTCTCTCAAAAACTGCCATTGTTTATATATTTTTGTATATTTAGGTCTGTATCTTCGAATGGCTGGGCCTGCCTTTGCCAAAAACTAACAGCCATTTCTCTCATTCATTACAAATTGAATGTTTTTTGGATCATTCAAATCGGATGCTTCGTTCTCTCAAAAACTCGATTTCTATTTTCTGCACTCTTTGCTCTTTTTCTCTGTTTTGGATGGGCCAGCCTTTGCCAAAAATTTACAGGAAGTTAATTAAGAATTAGTTAGAAAAGAGAGAATAACTAGTTGGTGTTATTGGTATTAGTATTTTGCCTTGAGGCAAGTTACATGAACTTTCTGATATGTGTAAATAATGACTTAATCAATGAAAAATAAATTAATTTATGAGTGATTAAAAGTATTCCGAGTGGATTTATTACACATAATTGAAAACGAATGAACACGTTAACTCAGAGTATTTTCAAAGAGAAAGTTTTCAAAAATCAACAATTTTTATAATTGAACCAGTTTCCGTAGGACTTTAATGATTCAGGATGTTCATTAAAACCAAGTACCTTATTGTTATATCAAGTAAATCAACTAATTTTAATTCTAACAAACGTCAAAAAAACTACTAATTTTCTCAAACTTTGATGATTTTTTAAAATTAAACTACTTGTCGTAAGGCCGTAATATTTTAGTAAGTTCTATAAGATCATGATATATATCTCCAAAAAATGTTCTATAAAAATCGGCAATTTTTTTTTTCAACAGTTAATTACAAGAAACGGCTCGGTAGAGTTTCATCTAAAACTAATCAATATCATTCCCAACTAATATTTTTAAAAAGTTTTGAATTTTTTTAAAATCGATTCGATAGCATGAGCTTAAATGTGGACGAAACGTTTAACACTTTTTTTTCAAATTACAAAGAAACGGCTCGACAGATCGTCTCACAAAACTGACAAACGATAGGCCTCATTGAGATACATCAAATGGCTTTTTAATTTCTGAAGTCGGTTCAGGCGTTTTTGAGAAAACGTCGATCAAAGGTCTAATTTTGACAAATGCCAAAAAACGATACTAATTTTTGACGAATTTTTGACGAATTTTTTAAGTTAAACGAGTTATCGTAGCACTGTAATATTTTTGTATGATCTATAAGACTATGGTATCTACCGTGAAAAAAATCGTAAAAATCGTCGATTTTTTTTTACATTTTATTACAAGGAAACGGCTCACCCGATCTTTACCAAAAATTAATCAGCACGATTCCCAACCAATATCTTTTGAACTGTTTTTGAATTTTCAAAATCGATTTAGAATTGCGTGCTAAAACGTGGACGAAAATTTTTCACTTTTCTGTGATTTTCATAGAAATAATTTTGTTGGAATGCCATTATTAAATACAATGTCCTCTACGAAAACTCTAGCAATGGTTTCGGCAACTTGACTGTTAATAGCTATTGCAAAACAAGAAGTCTCCATTAATATATCAAGTGAACATTTTTTGAATGGCTTAGAAGGAATATCTGTAATGATCATGGGATGTTTATTTAAATGATGACTTTTATTGTATTGACATAAGTCACACCTTTTTAGGCCGAAGTTTGGGCCCTTTTATATTTAATGAGAATTCTTTTTAAAGTACGTTTGAAAACTTGATGCCCATTAAGTGGCTTAGTGTGATATTAATTAAAAAATATAAATTTGTCATCATCTGTTAATATATGCTCAAGAGGATAGTTGTTAATAAAAATGGTAATGTCGTGATATTTAAAAATATATCGCAGCATGGTACGTACTTCTGTCCAGTCTACGTTGTCAGTCTCGTTTACAAAAGAATTGGTATCCTTTACATTTAGTTGTAAGCATAAGTCTTTTAAGTTAATGATATTGGTGAATAGGATCTCAAAATTAGTCAAGTCGTTTTTAGTATTTCTTGCAAAAAAAATATAAAAAATATAACTAGTAGGGTGAATGGCATCGTGTCTTAAGGCAAATTGTCTTAACGAAATGTTCGAGAAATATTGAATGTTTTCAAAAAGATTATTATAAATATTATAACATTGTCTAATATATATATAGACTGAATTGCAAAGTTGAAATTATTTGTTTAAAGTATATTTGAACTTTAGTCAGAATTCAAAATAAAATCTGGATTATTTTCGATATACAAAAAAAAAATCTTTTTGAAAAAAAAATTTGAAAAAAAAATTGAAACACTTTTTTTTCAAAATCAATTATTTTGTTAAAACAAGCAGAAAGTTCTTTGAATCATATAAATCGGACGCTTACTTCTCTTAAAAACTATCTTCGAAATGGCTGGGCTCGCCTTTGCCAGTAACTAACAACCACTTCTCCCAATCATTACTAATTGAATGTTTTTTAGATCAATCAAATTGGATGCTCCGTTCTCTCAAAAACTCGATCTCTATTTCCTGCACTCTTTGCTCTTTATCTCCGTAATTGCTAAACCTGTTTTTGCCAAAAACTAATCAGCACATCTCCCTATAAATATGAATCGAATGTTTTTTGAAACATTCGAATCGTTGGTCCTTGCGCCTGAAAACGTGGACGAAATATTGTATCCATACATACATACACACACACATATATACACATCCATTTTTTCCGAGGTATGCCAAAATGTTCAGAAACCTTCAAAACGTCGAGAAATGCAAAAATTTTCAATTTCGATTTTTGGACGATTATAGTAACTTACCCTACGGGAAGTTAAAAATATCTTTATCTTTAATATATGCTATATACCCCTTGATTTTACGCAATCAATTCGTTTGTTCTATTATATTTACATTAGATTTTTGAAAATAAAATATGGGAGCTTAGGAAATTTTTGGGGCATCGATGCAAATAGATTTGCGTTTGCCAAAAATAAAACT